CGAAAGTCAAGTTGAACATAAAAACGGCCGACAAAATAAACACCTAGACTTCTTTAATATTCCATTTTTTACTAATATGACTCTAAATTAGGTTCAATCTTAAGAAAAAAATAAGCTGATTTTTTTTAAAAAAAAATTAAACAGAAAAAATTATATCAACAAAATATATTCTTGAAAGTAAAATTAAAAAAAAAATAAAATAAAAGTAATGTGAAACGAGCTCTTAGTGGACAACAGTTAAAGTACAATATTTGTTCTCCTAAGTGCAAGAAGCAGCCTGCTTAGCTTAGTAACCCTATAGCAAGCGCAAAACTTCTGCATAAACCATAATTGCCCTGTTAAACCAATTCCATAATCCTAGTCGAGGGGTATTTGACAATTGCAGCACACCAACCCTTTTCGCAGGGCAAAAATTCTTCCTCCCCGGCGATACTATGCATGTAAAAATGGCATGTGATGCCTTGAAAATATCTTGTCAAAAGCTACCAACAATTTATAACACATTTAGTAGAAGAAATCCGAAATTTAAAGTTATCAGGACAATTACAAGAAATTAAGTGAAAGGACCAATTGTAGATTTGAAGTTAATAAAAGCAGATAATCACATATGAAATGGAAATCAAGAACAATATTTTACATTTAGCTTATACCTGATTGAAGCAACAGAAAAGAGTTCATCATCCCTCCCCAAGGCCACAGTATAAAATCCTTGATAGTTCACCTGCGATAATTTTGACCTGAAAACGGTGCAAAGAAAAAGGTAAATCCGGTGCGAGTTCTATAAACTACATCGCAAGTCAAGTAAAATCACAGTAAGCAGTAAAGATTAGGGGCACTTACATATGTAGCACACAATTCTCATCTATTTACATCTCACACCTAAACTTTCATATTTACACACATCACTCAAATCTTTAATATCACATCAAAAATAGCATTATAATCATTTTTAAAAAGTGAAAGACAAATTTTCATGCATAGTTTAAACAACCAAAGTTCCATGTATGTAAACATAAAAGTTTAGATGTTAGAAATGTAAATACATAAGCATTGCTAGCTACATATGCAAATTTCCCTAAGGATTGTTATTAGCCATGCATGAACTATAACGCAAAAAGATATTGGAAAAACTCACCTCAAGTTGTACAAGATGAGAGAAAGCATATTTTTGCCTGTTCTGGGATCCAACATGGGAAGAAAGCTTTCTTCCATAATGGACAAGGCAACAGCTAACTTTGTGTTGCATTCAGCCATCAAAGCAGTCTTCTGTGTAGAAAGAACTTTTTCATCATCATGAATGCATTTCAAAACAGTCCAGCATAATCCATCATTCAAGCAATTCGTCATTCCTACAAGTGATTGCAGTCCAGTGTAAACCTATCACATCACACAGAATGTAAAGTTATTGGAATATACAAAAAAAAAACAGTAGTTAATTTTAATCAGAATCCGTGAATAACACCCAAGGAATAGAGCGTAAGAGAGAGAGAGATGCATGGTGAATGAATAGTAATTTATGCGAAGTGTGTAACCCTTTTTTTCATAAAATGATCCTCTATTTATAGAGAAAAGGGATACAATATGTGAAGGTATTTCTATTACCATGCTTCAGTTAAGGATGTCTAGGTTATTCTAGGTCTTTTAAGTATGTGGGCCCAGATTTTCGTTACTCTCTGGTGAGACTGGCGAGACCTTAATAGGTGTTGTTGGTTGGCTAAGCTAATGAGATCTTGTTAGGCCTAACTAGTCGGCAAGGTTTGGTAGCCATTATCGGTTTACTTACCTCTTATTGGCAAAGGATTGGTAAGATCAAGTTGGTCAGCTATGTCTTACTGATCGGTTAATGGGACCAACCATCAAGCTCCGATCCCTCATAAGGAATTTCCGTCGACAAAGAAAAGTTAGGATATTGGACAGATAGTAAATCACCATAATCTGATAAGCAATCACCCTTAGACGAAGAAATCCTGAGAGATGGCTGAGAATTGCCCAAATGATTCTTGATGTTGTTTGAGGAGACCGTTGGGTGTTTCAAATAGAACTATAGGTCCCGAGTGATTAGCTTCTTCATTGGGTTGGTTTCATCGTAGGGAATGGCTTGAGTCACTCTATGCTTCACTTCCAGTCGAACAGCTCATGTTCGGGCCATTCAGTTGCCTTAGTTGACCTTAGTCTTAATACCTCCGATCAGACAATTGGATCTTTAGGTCCCCTGCCGGCAGACCTCTCTTTGATATACGTAGTCCCGTCTGCATCGTTGTATTTCATTGAAATTCGTGTTAGCATGTTTTCTAGATACATACTTAGTTCCTCTATTCTTTTACTTTTTGGAAGATCTACTGCGACAAGATTAAAAGAATTTAATGCAAAAAGTAAATTTCATTTATGATAAATTAATGATTCAATAATTGAACTCTCTGAATTTCTATGTTTTACATTTCTATATATAGATTGATTGATCTCCCTTATCTTCCTTATCTTCTCCCTTCTCCACACCAGCTCCTGGTATGAGCCCAACCAGGAACTTCAGGATCTCAAGATCAATCCTTACTATAAGGTCCAATCCTTCACTCCCCACACTATCTCCATCTCTCGTCATCTTCGATTACTTGGACTCTCTTCTAGGTCATACAAACCATGAACAATTCCCTTCCTCCTTTAGCCTTGATTTAGATCTATCAAATCACCAAGATTGGGATCTTCTTCGTGCGGCGGCTCGACTACAGCACGTGTGGCAGCGGCGGCATGAAAAGGGGGTTGTTGTAGTTGCCTGGATAGATGGCGACAGCGGCCTGAAGGGAGACAACTGGCGCTAGACCCTAATATGTCTCCCGCACGTGAAGCAGGGGAGGATGGACATGGGAAAAGTCTCCCATACTGAATGCGGGTGCGTCTCCCGCACAAATTGTCATGGGTAGACGAAATAAAAGCAACTAGTCTGGAAGTCGGGAGATGTGATCAATGAGGATAGGGAGCAACAAGGAATGTGATCGATGTGACGGATCTAGAAGATAGGGAGAAGGTAGAGACTAGGGTTTGGCTCTGATACCATATTGAAAGTAAATCAACCAAAAATTAGGTATTTCATTCAACATATGTGTTTAACTAAAGTTTACAACCTTTCCAAACAAACCCGATAAAACCCTCTTATTACACATAACTCTCAACACAATCCATCAATAAAAGATGATGAACACTTTCACTAACACATTACATGCCAGAACACATATCAAATGATTTGGTTGTAGATGGGCCTAGAGACAAATATTAAATTTGCACGGGGAGGACACTCCACCATTTTAAAGGAAAAATGGTGGATGCTCAAATATAAAAAATCCGCTCAAAGAGATCATGCCAAGCTAGCAACATTCATTAACTGCATTGTTGGCAAAGCCAGCAAGAATGGCACTTACATAGAAGCAGTTGATGAGCATAGAAAGAATTTTGCAGACGTCAAGGAGACATTGGTTGAGCATCGAGTGTAAGTTATCAATTGTTTGTCAAAAAGAAGTTGTTGCTAGTTGGCCAAGAGGCTAAAGTCAGCAATTCATCAATAGGAAGTTGTCAGCAATTGGTCAAGAGGAAAAAGCTAGCACTTCTTTGGAAGAAAATCGTTGACAATTTGTTGAAACGAAGTCGACAATAACGTGCCAAGAGAAAAAAGTCTACAGTTGGTCAAGGGGACGTTGCCATCAATTTGTTAAGAATCAAATCTAGAATGCACAGGGCCCAAATCAGCCAGATCAAACTCAATGCCATTATCACATATGAAAATTCATCCAATGGATCCAATGTGGACATCAACACTTTTAATGGTGTTCAATTCACACATCACTTTAGTCGGCTAAGATGGCGCAATATTAAGCTCTTCCAAGCATTGAGAGTTTAGCTATCTTGGATAGGAGATCAATGTTCTATCAAAACCTTGAGTCAAACGGGAGAATTTTACATAGCTCAATAATAAAGATTCTCATTATATTACATTACCAAATAATGATCATATGAAAGGCTATTAACAAGATAGGGGTTTCCCCAGGAACAAAAATAAAGATGGATCATGATTTTGCAATTATTAAAAAACCTAAGGATTTGCGGTGCCTTCATTTTCACGCTAAAGAATTCTCTTGGGATTGATTATCCCTCGATTAGCACACAAACTATTTGGATTGGAGGCATCTTGCCTTAGAAACCATGAAATTCTTAGGATTGATGCAAGAGACTTGCAATGAAATTCTCTTCTTTAATAGTGGATTAGATACTCTTCTTCTTTAAACGTAACTTCAGTTACGATGAAGCTAAACAACATAAATTTGGCATATATATGTTTTGTGCTCTCTTTTTCTTTTTGTGGATGCATTTTCATTTTTCTCAATCATGGCGACATTTCCACTTTGAGTTATTTGACACCCGCATACAACACATCTAAAGTATGTATTTATTTATTAAACTCTACAATAAAATCACATGATTGCAATGCTTCTTGACCCTCACGTAGAGCATCTTACAATATAGAATTTTCTAATACAAATCAAACATGAAGTGTAAAAATCATACAACAAACACAAAAAACCTCATAAGTTACAAACTATCAATCTTTAATAATCATTCATTATTTTTAATGAAAATAGAAAATACAACTAAGACAAATACAAATTTTGTCTTAACACACATAATTTGTTCTTTTGATAGATTTAGCGTTTTGAGATTTATATTATTTATTTTTTACTTTCAAGGAAACTTTGACCTCAACAATTTGTTTAGTTGATATTCATTAAGTAAATATTGGCATAATTATTGTAGCTCTCAATAGAGAAACACATGCATCATCAAATCCAAGTTGGTTCCCTAGTAGCACACAAGTTAACTTAATTTTGGCACAAAATTAGTATTTTTATTTAGAAATAGCACAATAATGACTTGGATGTGAATGCCATTGTAGGTAATGATAACATAAAAGAATCCAAATCATTGGTTAATAGTTAAGCATATAAAGTTAAGTTATATTAATTAAAATTGAATTAATACCATAACTTTTAGGATTACCAACTTACAAGCATTTATCTCAACTTTTTGTATGATTTTTAAATAATATAATTTTTATAGCAGTTGATTTCCTAAGATTTTAATATGAAGCCTTTCAAATTTTAAACAAGACATTATGTTAAATCAAGATTTGAATCATCTACCTCTCTAATTCCAATATTTATTTGACTTGTAATTTACAGTTTGCCATTAATTTGGTGGATATTTTGGTTGATAAATTTAACTCTTATTGTTAATAGATTATGGTCAGTAGTTGTTTGATGGGTGCAAACAATGTTCGAACTAATGCTAATTTATTTCCTTGTATTCATATATGGCATTGTAGCTAAGATTCAATCTTTTCATTTCCTTTTAGAGGTGTAACTAAGTCAAATAGACTCCTGAGGCAGCTCGGGCTCTACTCAATAAAATACTAAAGAGTTAAACTTGATGAGCTAACTAGTCAAGCTTTAGCCTTCCCCAAATCAACTGGTTAGTTCATGAGTGGGCTCTGTTAAACAACATAGGTATAAAATACACTTAAAACTTAGGGCCCGTTTGGGGCAGCTTATTGGGAGCGGCGGCGTTCTGAAAATTTCGCCTCCCTGTTTGATAAATGCGTTCGCACGGGCGTTTTCCTCCCGCACTGCGTCCGCGTTCGATAAAACATATATGTCGTTCGACGCAGTGCGAGCCTCGCGTCCCGCGTTAGCGATCCGCATTGCCATAGGAATTCCGGAGGTGCCCTCGATCTCCCTTCCCTTCTCCCTAGTTGGTTTCTTTTCTGGTTCGTCGCCCTAGAAGAGATCGAACATTCTTCCTTTCCAATTTTCTTTCCTGATCATCAGGTATCCTTTCGATTTCCCTAGTTGCAATCCTTAGAATGCTTCTTTGCTCTGATCTTCTTTCTGAGAAGTGTAGATGCAAGAAATGAAAAAAAAAAATTTCAGGGGAAATATGATGACATTAAGGGTTTTTAGCTATTGCCCAGTTTAGATCTATGGCATGAGTTGTTTTCGGCATCCTCTGGCTTCTAACATTTTCTCCGATTTTTGGGTTTTAGGCCTGTTGAGATATATTTCATTTTCTATGCCCCGATATTTTGGCATTTTAACTGGTTGTTGGATTTGGGTTGCTAGCTGCGATCCTAAAAACCTTCCTTTTCTCTGATCCTTTTTCTGAGAAGTGTAGATACAAGAACCGAAATATTTTTTCTTTTGTATATGAAATATGAGTCCATGAAAGGTTTTTAGTTATAGCCCAATTGAGATATGTGGCATGCATTGTTTGATGGGAGGTATTGGCTCTGGTTTTGGGCATCTGTTTTGTGGCACGATATTTTGGCATTTTCTCTAGTTTTGACTTTGTTTGTTTGATGGAGGGTAATGGTTCCGGTTTTAAGCAAATTGGTGAAGTTATAATTGTTTAGCCGTTGTTTGTGTGATGGAAAATTTGCAAGAATTTCTGTTATGTAGGAATTTTAAATAACCAAATGTTGAATTGGTTATACAATGAAAATTATGGCTTGGTTCATGAAAATGCATTACGAAATTGTTTATTCTTCTATGAAAGCATACTAGCGTGTAATTGTAATGTTTCAAATCTATATCTACTTCGTCATTGACAGGATTCCATACTTTTATCTTTTGTTTTATGTTAAGAATGACAATGGTTATAGCATTGGGGAGTTAAGTACATATAAGGAGGCTTTGTTTTTATATGAGGCAATGGTCTTGCCGTAGATGTTTTCATCTTTTATATGAGACATTTTCTTTGGTTTTCATCTTTGATATATGAGCAGGCTTTGATATTAGGAGGCTTTGTTTTTATAAGGAGCCTTGTTTTTATATGAGGCAATGGTTATCTCATTCGGGAGTTAAGTACATATACAGAGATCTGAATTAACTGCTTTTGGATTAGGGTTCATATGCATATGTGAGGCTTTATTTTTAATATTATTAGATGCAAGAATGGTATTTATATGACTTACATCTTTTATATGAAGTATTTCTGACAATATTCAAGCTATCAAAATGGGGGAACGAAAGAGAAACTACATTTGGTTATGTATATATATTGTTGTCAAAGAATATTCAAGTAAAGAAAATGCATTGTAAATGCATTTTTTTTTATAGACTGGCTGAATTCGTACCTATGTAATCTTACAGATTTTCTTAATAAAACTTTCGTGGATTGCCTTCCGTGGACGTAGGTAATTGGCCGAACTACATAAACATCTTGTTCACTTGTTTTATTTTAATTAAAATGTTGTGGAAATGATGTTGGATGTCAATGTTTATTTATAATATGCTCTTTTTTTTACTGTCATCTCCGTTGCTCACGTCACATCAGTCTCATAGCTTTGGGAGGCAGTTCTACGGTTGTGCCAAGGATTTTTCAGCTCGTTGTGGTTTCTTTCAGTGGGCTGACAGTCCCACATATTACACTTCCACCAGTCATGGGAATCCGATGTTTTCCCAGATTGATAGTGCAGATGAGGACATACGTAGCCAGAGTTTAAAATTAAATATTTTAATATTTCTCATTGTAGTTGTACTTGTCATTGTCTTTTTTTTATTTATTCTGGTACTCACGAGAGTGTGAGAACTGTATGTCATCTTTTGGAACTGATCTGTGATGATTGTATACTTCTGCACTATATGCTTTTGTACTATCAATAAGCTCTTCTGAATAAGCTGCCCTAAACAGCAAGCCAGATTATTCTGATAATCTGCAGTTTATCAGATTATCAGAATAATCTGCTTATTAGCAAATTATAAATGATCAACAGCTGTGCCAAACATACCCTTATTAGAACTCAAAATTCTACGTGCTAAATTATAAATAAAAGTATAGATTACTTCTTTATATCAAGTGTTTTCTAATTATTTATAATCTATTTTGTTTTATTTTTTATCATATTATTACCATAATAGCTTGAAAAGAAATCATTTTATCTCTTTTGAGTTGGCTCATAGGATAACTCACTAATAGAATTCAAATCAAGTACGAAGTTGATTAATTAACTAATTTCAAGCTAATGTTAGTGGAAACTTTGGCTCAACTTAAACTCATTGACACCCTTATTTCTTAATGAATATTTTTTACTTTCTTCTATTATTTTAAATTAACTTATATTATTTATGTATTCAAAAATTTCTTATTGTAGCTTACTTAACAATTAGGATTTTCTTCGTCATGTGACTTTTTTACCTAAACGCCCATTGCCAGAAGAACTTCTATCTATATTATAGCATGTAAACTGAGACGTGATATTTTGCCCAAATTGACTTGGAAACTTACTGTCTTGCAAAAACCCAGTAAAAGTCCAAAATAGTCACCCAACCATCTATATATGGCCAAGCTGGTACTAGGATATCACATTTCTCATATTAAATCCCTCGAATATACAAAATTAATCTCAAATAATCTGCTATGACTAAATTTTAATCAATTTTATATAGTAGATGGAATACTTAGATAAAAAATTTGTATTATAATTTTTTATCATTTAACATAGGGATCATTTATCATCAATTTTATATAGTCGAGAAACTAAATGAAGAAATGTTAAACTCAATGATTAAATTTTCCGCACGAATATGATTGAGGACTATTTTAGATTTTTTGTTATAAGAACTAGCACTTTTACAATAGATATGGGTGATTTTAAGAAAATTACCTAGTTAGTGGTCCTTTTTTATTATAATAGGAGCTTGAAGTATGTAACATTTCAACTAATGATTCAATAAAATTTTTGCTTCCTCTTTAACTTATATGTGTTTATTGTAAATTCTTCTAGTGCAATGCAAGCATTAGCCAAATTCTAGAAAAGCTTTCTCATTATAACAACCTTGATTAACATCTCGATAACTTCTTTCCTTTATCCCCCCTTTCAATTAGTTAGCCACTGAATAGTGTGACATTCGGATTTTGCAATGTATGCTACAATTTGATTTTTCTTTTTGCAACGTAAATCACAATCATTGTGTGATTTAATTTCATTCTCATATTTTTCTTATAAATTTCTGAATTTGGCTATCTTTAAACTACAATTTGGAGCATGTTTTATGACTCTTAATGATTTGCATAAGAAAAATAAACTTCACTTATACTAATTTATGAACTGCAAATTTGCTCGGTTTGTGCATCCCATCTTAGATTTACATTAACAAAACAAAATTACTTGTGCTATCCTACATCATTATTTTCCTAAACTTGATGCACATATAGACAGCACACACAAGAGTCATATAAGGTTCCATGTGCAACATACACAAGCACATACCACCATGCTTTAATGCACATTTCCAGTCATTTGTTCAAACATGATTATTCAAACAAACATATTTTGCATGAATTAAAATACTACGAGAGTAAGAAGCTTAACAAGTATCTAACTTTGGTCTATAAACATGATATATTTGAAAAGAACTACAACGAAAAGAAATACCTGAAGACATTTTTGTCCACAAAACCACAAATTAGATCCAACTGCATCACATTTAATCTCATCCTTTATGCACGTTTCATGATCTGCATTAACAAAGTTACTTGAATATTATGAAAATAGAGATTTATATACAAACTGCCGAAAAAAAAACCCAAAAAAATAAAGCTTCAACATGAGACTCGCAAATTAATTCAACTAACCAATTCTTTGGTGCACTAATTATAACTTATTTGTTTATGAGAACAATGGAGTTTATGCAGCTCAACAACTTCATTTTTTTTATAGAAACTTTGCTCTATCAGTTAGGGTGCAGACAAGTTAAGCTTGAGCAAGCTCAAGAGTTGTTCAACTCAACTTGTTAAATAAATAAAATTATTATTGTTATTTTTTTTTTGTTTGTGCTCTGGTCATTAACATATCGAGTTGAATATTTATAAACATCAAGTCTAAACATAATTAAGCTATTATCAAACCAAACTTGGTTGCAAAAGGCCTTGCTTGTGTTGATAATTTTGGAGAATCAGGACCTGCAAGAAGGAAAAGCAGGAGGATAAACCGAAATAATACAGGAGGACAAGTTGGCACAGCTAGCAAGACGAGCGTAAGAACATCTGAATGTGGATGCCCAAGACATTTGCGCTAAAGGATGGACTTCTTTATGGAGGTGACAAGAACATGAATAGTATGCAAAAGAGAGGTGATCGATATAAGCCGTCAGTACTAGTTCCCCAGAGTAGAGGTACCTTCGTCTTGGGTTTAAAGATGGGAAAATCATTCAAATCAAAATGAATAGTCATGAATCAATTTATGGACAGATAACAAATTATGAGAAAGAGATGAAACATGCTATAATTGGGGTAGGAGAAGCTTACAGTGGGGTGTCAAAAGGATGTCATCATCCGTATGTGCTACTGAACGAATTGAACAGTTCACGCCATGACTTGTTCAAAACCGGTTGTTGGAATGATAAGTTGTAGGTGATTAAGATTCGAGGTAAGATGCGTTGTAGCGCCAGAATCCAGGACCCATTGTGAGGTGGTGGCTTCCAAGGCTTGTTTAGTAGGTAAGTATTCAAGATTAGAGCGATGCCAACATGCAGCTGCAGAGTGACCAAACTAATCACAAATTTGGCATATTATGAGGCTCTTGTTGTGGGTTTTGGGTCAGGTGTTTGAGATTACTCATCGGGAATTAGATGGAGGGAAGGATAGGGGTTGTTGTGTTCATCTCCATGGGTGATGGGTTTGGTTTTTTGAAGTTTGGGAGTTATACATTCTCTTGGAGAACCGATCTACATCAACCTAAACATTCTAGGTATCATCGATCTAACAACACCCAAAAATGATCTGTGTCAATCTTAAGTTTGGCAGGTAGCAAGAAAAAGATCGAGGAGGAGAAGGAAGAGGAGGAGAAGAGCGAATGAACTTGAGCTCAAGGCTCTGATATCATGATAACTATGGAGAATTGGGACCTAGAAAAGGAAAAATAGAAGGAAAAGCCAAACAGGCAATACCTTATACTATGTTCTATTTCATCAAAAACATATTCAGACACAATCCTTATCCGTTATATGAGGGTAGGTGAAGCTTCTAGATATAGGAGATTAAATTACTTGTCATTATATTGTACTGTAGAAATATTATTGTGTAGCCTATTTTACATGTGTTATTATGTGTTTGGAAAATTAAATAAATGAATTTATAAATACTAGTCGAGCTCAAGCTAACTATCGAGCCAAACATTAATAACATGCTTTTTCAAATACCCTACTACTGTGACTTGAGTAATCATGAATAATAGTAAATTTTCCCATCAAAATTTCTTATAAATACCAACACGCATAGGCAATACTTATGACTATTAACTTGTGCGTGATTTTGGAAATTTTCATTGCTCTTACTCAAATAAATATGAAATGTGTGTTGGTATTGGGAATTTTCATTGCTCTATCACCGTCATTTTATAAAATTTTCTTTTGAGTCTGAGTGGTACTTTTCTATCAAACAAAAGGCCCAATGCATTCCTCCACTTCAACCAACCAACTTGAATTCTAATAATAACATCCTCATCTATCATCTATATATCACCATCACTTTGAACAATAAATCCTAGATATCTAAAACGTTCACACCTTTTATCATTGTCTCTATTACAAAAATTACATTCAATGTATTCAGTTTTAGAACTACAAATAAAGCAACATTCAAATTTTATATTTTTCCAGTACACTCACTTAAATGACTCATACATAATCAAAATTGTCTCGTTCTTCTTTGGCGAGCCATAGTGGAATATCTATGGCAATAGATCATGGTGATTTTAGAACAATAATACAAACTAGATTATATAGACCTCCCCCTTATTCTTGACCATAAAAGTTCTAATGATACGTGTTCCGACGTCCAAAGCTAGATGTTACAAACACTTCCAAATATCTTCTATGAATTTGTTAGCCATAAACATCACTATGACACATCCTAATACATTATGCACGTGTCTACCTTGTTCAAGACTATGTCAGAATCATTTCAAGCCAAAATTATGTTCTAACACATGTTAGGCAAAGCTTAACATGTTGCAAGGACGTGCATCAGGGACGACTCGTCCATGAGAGATATTTACATGCTTCCATTATTGTCAAGAGACAAATGAGGATGGTGGCTATGATAGTTGACTATTAGAGATCAGACATTATTCCATTTAATTTTTAACCAACCGGAACAATTCTTAATGGTAGCACCTTAAAATGTAAAATAATCAGAAGCAATCAACAATGATCAATTAATGAGGGAATTTGAGTTCCGAATTGTCCATGAAAGAGGAGAAAAAAGATAGATTTAGTTGGAAGCAAATGATGTATAAGTTGTGTTCAAATTGAATTACTTCCAAATAGAGGGAAGCGTTGATCATCTAAAAAACTTCAAAGGCAGAACCAAAGCATGATTCAGAGAAGAGAGGAGAAAACATACATAATTTTTAAGTGGATTAGTCAGAGTACTGAGTCCTCTGTAAAGTGAGGGAGAAGGATCAACTAAAAGAATGAAGAAGGTGATTACAAATCTATCCCTTGAATTTCTATGAATACAATATAGAAAAGTTTGGTTTGACATGACATTGTCTCATTTTGTTTGAGTGAATGCACAAATATAAGGTTTTTCTAATGCTCAGTTGGCATCAGGTGATTTCAGGGTGGAAAGCAACAAGAAGTCATAATAGTGGTCACTCAGGTGCTAGTTGATGGGCATCAAACGATAAATTGATTGGCAAGTAATTACAATACTTGAAAGCGATTAGGATCCATGATAAGGACATTTGGGTGTTTTAGAGAATCTTATGGGTGTGGTCATTGCCCCATTAGTGAAATGGCCATGTGGTATCCCTCGAGTGGTTAAAGTGGATAGCAACAATTACTGCTGCAGTAGGACAAGAAGTAAGATATTTTAAAATATAATGATAAAACCTGACCTGGGATGTTGAAGACTGATTGAATTTGATGGGAATGTAGACGACTCCTAGGTGATACCACCACCAATAAATTGAAATGTCACCTGCTATACAGCCGATCAAGGAGTACAAAGTAGATGAACACTCAATAAGATTCTAGATTGATGTATGAAATGCCATAGGTTGGTCTCTTTGTGATTTTGTTTCAAACTTGACTAACTAAAACTTGACTAACTAAATTGTGCAAATTTGCCAATTGAGACTTTAAGTATGCGGACCAAAAGACAACTCTGATGCAACACTTAAACCAATGTGATAAATTAAAAAAACATGCAAAATCTTAATTAGTTGGTTAGCCTCTACCTAAATATGGAAATGCCAATATAATACAGTCAATGCCTCATCTTGCATACTCTTGAACTGCTAACCTACGAGTTACAATTCATAAGGCATGCCCAATAGAATAGTGCATTAATGTCATTGTCAGATAATGCCAACCTTAAAATTGGCCACTTCAGCCATCATTTTCCATGAATTTGAGGTTCCCTCAGACAAGTCAACCAAAGGTTGGTGACAGGGATCTTTTAATTAGATATAGAGTACCTTAGTTAATTAAGCAATCTATGGTATATAATAATTGGGAAGATAAAATCATGAGTTCATAATTGGGTTTGTCGCCATCCCCCCACCATCCCTTCTAAGCAAATAATGATGTCATTCGTTCTCCAATTCAAATTTGTTAATAAAACAAAGCTTCATAGAGCTTATAGACCAAATTAATTGTAAGTACTCTCTCATAATCAAGTAAATAATCAACAATAAGAGTTTCTATTTATATCCTTGAGCTATTTTATAATATCTAATATGGGGGTAAATTCTCTAGGCAGTGTCTTAGTTAATATCCACTTTGTCATTTGCAAATCAAACCAAACACAATATTTATAATTTATATATAAGATAGACGAGGGAGGATTTCTTCGTGCAAGGATATACAAAAGGAGCTATCATATGTGATGCAACATAATCATTAAAAAAATCAAAATTTTAATAGGTTTTAAACATTTTAGATATTTGTAATAAAGCATGCATTATTTCCCTCCTTGACTGTAATGTGTTTTAGGAGAGAATTTTAGTCTAAGTAAGGAAAAGGACAGCTGTATCCTAATTAGAGGTCACTAAATGATAATTGTATATTAAAATTTCTTTTAGCCATTCAACTCGGGTTCTCCTCATCCGAAACTCTCTATTTGCAATTGTACCTTTGTATGAGAGAATAACCAATAAGGACACATTCAAGTGGCAATAAATCAAGTTTGATTTAGGAATGTGTGTAAACAAAGACAATAATTACAAATATTTTAGTAAAAAGATTGTTAACATGTTGAAGTAAAAGAAAAGGGTTAGCCCTTATGAAAGGCATTTGAACCCAAAAACCCTCGTGATAGGAAATTTAATTATTTATAAATGATATTTCTTCCAAAAATAAATAGTAATAAAGTTTTCTTCTTCATTGAAGGTGACTTCAGCAGACACATGCAGCTTTGTCATTAAGTTAATATCATTTATACCCTTTTATGTAGGAGGAAAACTACTAAAACATTTGATTTTCCTTAGATCAAGTTTTTTTTTAGAACTAAGT